GGGATTGACAGATTTACTACCGGTTGACAATGGTTCTTTGTGTTAAATCACCGGGGGCGTTACTGTCTGGACATTATTTCGTACAGTCACGACATGACCTGTTAGGCTTGTGCAGCTGACAGGGTACGGACTGCAGGATCAAATGATAATGCGATCGTCCTTTGCAATACGAAATTCAACGGACAGCAATTAGCGAATCCATGACCTGCGTCAGCTGTGAGTCTGCGTCTCTGTGTGCATTTCATTGGACAATCTGTGGTGCTTGTGCGTGCACCACTTTGCGTGTTGTTTGTGTGCGAGTGTGTAAGTATGTGTGCGTGTAGCTCCACGTTGTGTGATTATTTCTGTGCGTAGATACGCATCTCCGTTCAAGTCTGCGTGCTTCTCTGTGTGTGTTGAGTGTGTGTTTTTGCGGCTTGTTTCTGTGACTGTGTGTGTGGACTGCCAGGCAAAGACACGCGTTTGTGTTTGTGGTCTGTGTGCCACAGAGTGCAGGCTGCGTTGCAATCAATCACGACTTTGTTGTATCCATGAAGGTAAACGCGCCAGTCACATACTAGCGATGTAACGTCAATTTTGACCAGTGTCTGATTTGAGTTCCTGTTGCTTCTTCCACGGATCATCCGTGTGTTTGTGCCACCGGCATGTTGCAGCTCTTGTTTAATGTCTAGTTTGAATGACACTGCGTGTGCCGCAGGCAGGCTGTATTCAGATGTATTGTGGTAGCACATGAAGGAAAAGCAAAGCAAAGCGGGGGCAAAGCCCCTAGCGCATGACACCAAGACACCAATTGCAAATCTGACCCTTCAGAAATAGGCTTCAGTAAAAAAAAAGAAGCTAGTGTTGACCAATCCGTTGTCTTTCCGTTGCCTGCACAATTTTGCAGCCATGGATCTGGTACTTGCTCCTCCAGCTACCTCTAGCGCTGACACATCAGAGAACAAGGCGTGGGGGGACTGAAGCAGCATATTGAGCGCACCGTGTGTTGTGATTGCTTTGACCGTTTCAGGTTTCATGGCATTAAAGCAACGTCATGGCGCTGATGTCCCATCAAGCCAAGCTCAATTCAAAGCAGCGCTTAAGTGGATTCCAACAAACGCTACAAATTCTACTGTCAGTCGCTGCTGGCAAACGCATACGTATCCGCCCCATTCAGGACCGCGAGCGCGACGTGATCAAGCAGGTGGTCGTATTGCTCCGCAAGCACCTACAGAACGAGGAACAATTCACGTCCTTTGTGGGGGTGCTGGACCGTGCTGCTGCGGCTGGCAGCGCCCTGAAAAGCCTGAATGGTGCTGTCATTACGCGTGAAATGCTGGCGCAGTGCCTCGCGGAGGTTCGCAGTGCAGCAGAGTTTCCTATACGACCAGAGGCGCAGCTGCTTGCCCAGCCTCTTTCACCTTTTCAGCGAGACCTACGCGTTGCTGCTGCTCATGATGATAGCTGCGAGGCCAGCGCTGGTGTCAGCTTCAACATGCTCTACGTGAAAAGCCGCGAGGGTGCCAATGTCTGGAAAATCCTGAAAGCTCCTTGGCAAAATGCACACACATATACCACCAGCCCATAGTTGGCCATTTAGGCTTCAACGGAGCAGTTGGTGTCTGTTTGTCAAGATGCTTTTGCTCAGGGCCATATTGTTTTGCAGCCAATACTTTCTGACAGACTGTTCCAATCTCAAGTAGTTGCGTGATGTTACCTGCCAACAAACTTAGACTGGTTTGCTGCTGTGCCACGTGTCGTCACATAACACACGTTGTCAACAATGGAGTCTCAAGCCTCGGGTGAGCAAACACGTGTGCCAGTTGCAAATGTTTCATTCTGTACACTAGCTCTGGTTTCCGCGCAGGTCACAAAGGTTTTTTGAACATCGACCACGCCCATGCATACATCAGGTATTATTAAGGTTTTGCGCGAAATTCAAGCAGTTGCGTGCAGCTCCCACTTGCGCAGCGCGGGTTTGTTCCCACCCGACCACATCTCTCGGCCCACATTTCTCGTCGAATGCGCTGCACATGTTCTCTCGTGTAAGTTGCTGCGCACGTGCAACTTGCCCTGCGTGCGCTCTTGTGCTTCTTGCTGCGCACATGCCCTCGCACTACTCGCTGCGCACTGGTGCTGTTTGCTGCATACATGCCCTCGTGCTACTTGCTCTGCATGTGCTCTCGCGCAACTTGTTCTGCGAGTGCCCTCGCGCTACTTCCTCTACATGTAGTTCTCGCGCGACTTGCTCTGCATGTGCTCTCGTGCAATTAAATGCCGTCTCGCGCATCTTGCTCTGCATGTTTCCCGCACAACTTGCTCTGCGTGTGTTCTTTGGAATCTCAGTACTAACTAGATATGTGACAAGGCTGGGGCGAAGGCGATTGACAAGTTTGTAGCCATGCTTTCGGGAATCACAACTTAGCACCCGCAGTTCACAAGGGCAGTTCTGCGCCAGCCATGGCACACACACAAACACACGCACACACGCGCGCGGAGCCTACTCGTTTGTGGGAAAATCGCTCACTCCTTGCGCTCGGTAGCCAACTATAAAAGGGCAAACGCAGTGGTCTGGGGGGTAGTGGCAAGCATCTTAGATTGTGTCATTCTAGGGCTGTGTAGACGGGACACCCCAAAATGGCTTCGGTCTTCCGGATGATTCCTCCGTAGGCCAATCTGGGAAACGTCAAACAGCAGTTCCCTATGTTTTTATTTCTTTGGGTCTTTGGCCATTTTAAATAGGCAGAATTTCCGAGGGTGTTGCTGCTGCTGTTGCTGTTGCTATCGCTGCTGCTGTTGTTGTTGTTGTTGTTGTTGTTGTTGTTGTTGTTGTTGTTGTTGTTGTTGTTGTTGTTGTTGTTATTGTTGTTGCTGCTGCTGCTGCTGCTGGTGTTGTTATTGTTGTCGCTGTTGCTGTTGCTGTTGATGGTGGTGATGACGTGGTTCTCATGATCTTGTTGTTTGTGGTGGTGGTGTTGCTGTTGTTGTTCTCCTTGTTACTGTTCTTCTTATTCTTCCTGCTGTTGTTCCGCTTGCGGTTGCTGTTGTTGTCATTATTCTTCTTGTTTCTGCTGCTGCTCCTGTTGCTGGTGTTGTTGTTGTTGGTGGTGGCGGTTGTTGTTATTTGTTGCCGCTGCTGTTGTTTTGTTGCCGTTGTTGCTGTTGCTGCTGAGTTTGTAATTGTTGGTGCTGTAGTTTGTAGTTGTAGTTGTAGTACTGTAGTAGTAGTTGTCATTGTAGTATTCGTAATAGTACAGTAGCAGTAGTGTAGGAGTGCGAGTTGTTGTTGTCGTGTTTGTTTCAGTTGTAGTAGTATGGTGATAGTAGTACTAGTCGTTGTTGTTGTTGTGCTTCTTTTAGTGGCAATATTATTATTAGTATTAATCGTAGTTGTTGCTGTTGTTGTCGTAGCTGGCAGTCGTAGTAGTTGTTGTTGGTGGTGGTAGCGGTATCGTTGTTTTTGCTCTTGCTCTTGTTGTGCCATTGTCATTGTCGTCATCTGTCGCCGCTGTTGCTGGTATTCTTGATTGTTGTTGGTCGGTTGCCGCGGGTTACTGATGGTCCATGCTTGTCCCCAGATGTTTCAATATCGTTGCGCTTGCTGTGAAGTTGTCGCGCTTGGCGGTGGCGGTGGCGGCAGCGGTGTTCTTGGTGCTGTGGATTCAAGGTGGTGGTGCTGTTAGGTGTTGTTGCGGCCGTCGTCGTCGTTGTTGTAGCTACGCTGGATGCTTTTGCTTTTGCTTTTGCTCATTTTCAATGATGTTGTCACTGTTGTTGTTCTTCTTCTCGTTGTTGTGATGGTTGCTGGTTTTGTTGTCATTGTTGGCATCGCTGTCGTCGTTTGTGATATTGTTGCTACTACACACTTGCCAGCGCGACTCATCATTGTTTCCAGCACATGAACACCCGCATCAGATTTAAACACAATGACCCATTGCTCATGGCCTGCCCAAACCGGTTACGCTGCTTGCGGCCAGCCTCTGTCACCTGGCTACCTGCTGTTGCCTGAGTTTTTGAACCACAAGCATGTACTTACAGGATGCCAAGTTTCGACGCTGGTTATGCCCTACGTGGCTCGGCGTAGTCAGTGTGAAAACAAGACAGAGCCCACGAACCCGAATGCACATCACTTTGCGCAAGCCCAAGAAAATAATTAGAGAGAACATTTTTCGGTATAAGCCAATGGGGCTCGCAATCAAGCCTACCTACCATGTTTTTCAGCTTGTAAAACTGTACTTTGCGCGCTCCACTTGTTGCTGCAAAGCTACGATTTGTAATCTGGAGTTGGACAGATGCGCTTCGCGCGCTACGGAGCTGGTACTTCGCGCGCAAGACTTGCTTGCGTCCACCTAGAGCTGAAAACCTGTTCTTTGCGTACTAGACTTGTACTACAAAGTTGCGATCTTCCAGCAGAGCTGGAAACCTGTACTTCACGTGCCATACTTGCGCTACAAAGTTGTGACTTTCCAGCTAGTGCTGGAAACCTGCACACTTTGCGCGGTAGTACTACCAAGTTGCGATTTTCCAGCTACTTTGCGTACTAGACTTGTACTACAGAGTTGCAATTTACCAGCTGGAGCTGGAAACCTGTACTTCGCGTACTAGACTTGTACTACAAAGTCTCGATTTTCCGGCTAGAGCTTGAACCCTGTACGTCGCGTACTAGACTTGTGCTACAAAGCTAGAGCTAGAAACCTGTACTTCGCGTACTAGACTTGTGCAACAAAGTCGCGATTTTCCAGCTGAAGCAGAATGTCGCGCTACAAACAAGACCCATTTGACACCGCACCGCATACTATATATGATACGCTTTGGAGCCACCCGTGATTCCACGTAAGAGTTTTGCACGCGTGAATCTGGTGGCCTACAGCAATTGCTAAGTTATGTGAAGGGTGTCTTCCAGTGCGCGTGACGCCTTGCTGCTTTGGCCCTGCGCCTGACAGGTGGAGCCGACAGCTCATTACAACTGCGACGGCTACGAATACCTTTGGTCCATCGATGATATTTGGCGGGAGCTGAACATGACAATCAAGTACTACCAATGGTACGGCAAGAACGTGCGCTCCGGGGTGCTGGGGGAACTTATGCGGCACTGGCAAATTGAGCAAAAACATTTAGTTCGCAGTGGCAGCTACAAGGGTGAATTGGAGGTGGTGAAGTGGCGGGGACTGAAAACAGACTGTGCCAGCAGCCTGGGGGTGCTGCTGATTGTGGGCACCCTGCTACAAATTCGGGGTCTTGCCGTGCAGTGCCAACACAAAGCGCTCGCCTTGCTTCGCGACGTGTGCAACTTGTCAACCTGGCCAGCGCCACTCAGCATCCTTCCTGATTTGGCCTTCCAGGTTGAGAACGGGATGATACCCTTGGGGGATCTGGTGCTAGCGCTACCTGCAGCCGGCCAATCAGCTTTGAAATCCAGGCGGCGCCTCCAAATTAAAAAGCAAACACATACAGCCTGGAGTGAGCCCGTTCCATCACAGTGGCTTTTGTTTGGAAAGGCTACCCTTAGCATCGGGTATTGATTCTAATCAATTCAGGCTGACCAAATTGGTTCTAAGCAAAAAACGGCTTGTTTCAATAGCGCAGGCCGCGTTTCATGGTTGCTGTGTTGAGTCGCGCCCGAAGAAATCAACATCAGGGTTTCTCACATTTCTACCAAAAAGCTGATTGGACCACATATATGATCGCATTTTATCGCTTTTGATTGCCGCTTGATCCCGCTTCACCTCGTTGCAGCCGGTTGCTCTTGGGATTGGTTACCATATTACTGATTATCTTCTTCACGCTGACTTTTTCTGAAAAGGAAGCACTGCAAAATCAGTATGATGTTGTAAAATGAGGTTAGGATCAACGCCTGATGCTCATGGTATTGAACATTCTTTTGTGGGTGGCTGTTTTGAATACTGTTTTGGATACTGGCTCACCATTGGCCAAAACGGCTTCCGGAAATTTGCAAATTGGATGTTTGATTTCGTTCCTGATCCCAGGTGGGAAAACCAACAAGCTCTTGGCCCGGCAAGACGCAATTTGATGGGCAGTGTGAATTTGGCGGACCTGCTCTTCTTCTTCCTACGCCAGCCAGTCAGCGCCGAGGAATCAGTCATTCCAGGGCTACCAATTGCTCGTGTGCAAAAGCGATTACTGCACCTCATTTCCCAGCGAGTTGAATTATCAATGAGCAACGGGCATGTTCGCATGTACACCACGCCTCCCTCGGTGTCCGAAAGCAGTTTCGGGGCAGTCGCGGTTGAGGAACACCCCTGGTCAAGCGCGACAAGGCCACAGGCGGCCAGCCTTCTACGCCAAGAACTTGTTCGGCGGTTTTTGACGCGTGGCACTGGGTTTGTGGCTGGCCTAAGCAACGCAAACAACGAAGACCTCGCTGAGATGAACAAGATCCCTGGAGCCGCGAACTCCAACGCTGGCACGGATGCGGCAGCGCAATTTGTGACTGCCTACTTTGCTAAAGCAGCGGGCGAGCTCGTTCGCATTCTATCGAAACAACACTTCAAGCATTTGTGTGTCTACAGTGATTCAGCCAAAGTGTTTTCGTTGGACGCGCCTTGCCTAATCAAGCGTGTGTCTGACATGCAATAATTGAATATGTTCTTTGAGTGTGCGCCTGTTATGTGCCTGGGTACTGTTCTGAAAGGCATGATTCACCAAATGATGTGGGGTTGAACGGTTTGCCCGTTTCAGTCAATCCCGCCGATTTCTGGGCGGCAATAGCTAACAACTGATACCCCAATCTCATCATCGTAAAGTCCGGAAGAGTGTCGGGGGAAGTTTCAAAAGAAGGGGACCACTATATATCATTGCATAGAAAACTAGACACCGATTATCCCGAAAGCGAATATGAGAAAGGTAATGCAATAATGTTATGGTATATCCATGATATTATTCATGTTAACTGTTTCTCTCTCTTTCTCTCTCTCTCTCTCTCTCTCTCTCTCTTTACCTTTATCTTTATCTTTCTCTTTCTCTTTCTCTCTCTCTCTCTCTTTTTCTCTCTTTCTTTCTCTTTCTCTTGCTCTCTCTCTCTCTCTCTCTCTCTCTCTCTCTTCTCTCTTCTCTCTTCTCTCTTTCTCTCTTTCTCTCTTTCTCTCGCTTTCTCTCTCTCTCTCTCCTTCTCTCGCTCTCTCTCTCTCTCTCTCTTTCTCTCTCTCTTTCTCTCTCTCGCTCTCTCTCTCTGTCTCTCTCCCTCTCTCTCTCTGTGTCTCTTTCTCTTTCTCTATGTCTCTTTTTCGTTCTCTTTATCTTTCTTTATCTTTCTCTTACTCTCTCCTTCTCTCGCTCTCTCTCTCTCTCTCTCTCTCCTTCTCTTTTTCTTTCTCTTTCTCTTTCTCTTTCTCTTTCTCTTTCTCCCTCTCTCTCATTCTTTCTCTTTCTCTTGTTCGTTCGGTTTGTCTCCGTCCCTTTCTCTTTCTCCGTCTGTCTCTTTCTTTCCTTCCCTTTCTCTTTCTCCTTCTGTCTCTTTCTCTCCCTTTTTTGCAAGCCGGAGTTGCGGGAGTGTACTTCGCGTACTACTTTTCTACTCGGAGATGCGGGAGCGTACTTTGCATACTACTTTTTTACTTAAAACCTGCGATTCTCAGGCCGGAGCTGCGGGAGCGCGACAGAGCGTACTACTCTTGTACTTAATTTTTGCGAAAACCACAGCGAGAGCGATCCGACACGCGCAATCTCCGCAGAGGGTTCGTCCGCGAGCTTTGAGATTTGCACAGTGCCACAGCGAGAGCGATTCGACACGCAGAATCTCCGCGGAGGGTTCGTCGGACACGTAGAAACTTCGCACGGCGCCAGAGCGAGAGCGCTCCGACGCGCACAGTCTCCGCAGAGGGTTCGTCGGCCACGTAGAAAATTCGCACGGCGCCGCAGCGAGAGCGATCCGACACGCACATTCTCCGCAGAGGGTTCGTCGGCCACGTAGAAAACACGCACGGCGCCACAGCGAGAGCGATTTGACACGCACGATCTCCGCAGAGGGTTCGCGGGCCACGTAGGATATTCACACGGCGCCACAGCGAGAGCGATTCGACACGCGCAATCTCCGCAGAGGGTTCGTCCGCGAGCTTTGAGATTCGCACGGCGCCACAGCGAGAGCGATTCGACACACACAATCTCCGCAGAGGGTTCGCGGGCCACGTAGAAAATCCGCACGGCGCCACAGCGAGAGAGCTCCGACACGCATGATCCCCGCACAGGGTTCATCCCCCCAGCGCCCGCCAGACCCACCCCCGGCTAAGAAAGAAGATAGAATTTAAAGGCTGCGAGCTTCGGGTGGGTCAGTACAGCTGCGTAAGCTAGGCTGTGTAAGTCAGGCTGCGTAAGCTAGGCTGCGTAAGTCAGGCTGCGTCAGTCAGGCTGTGTAAGTCAGGCTGCGTCAGTCAGGCTGCGTAAGCTAGGCTGCGTAAGTCAGGCTGCGTAAGTCAGGCTGCGTCAGTCAGGCCGTGTAAGTCAGGCTGCGTAAGTCAGGCTGCGTCAGTCATGCTGTGTAAGTCAGGCTGCGTAAGACAGGCTGCGTGAGTCAGGCTGTGTAAGTCAGGCTGCGTAAGTCAGTTTGAGTAAGTCAGCTGTGTAGTCGGCAACCGTTTTTCCCAAAGAACCCTGCGCGATGCTCTCGGGAAAAAATATTGCAAATATATACAAATATATATGTATATGTTAGATTTGAATCTTCCTGTTTGCCCGCCTTTCCACTTTCCCTACTCACTTTTTCTCGCACTTTGTCCCTCTCTTTCCCAAATCTCTCTCTCATTGCCTCCATCAGTCTGTCTATTCGTCTATCTCAATTGCTGTAAAGCGCTGCGCTTGCCACGAAATTTGTACCAAAACGGTGTGAAAATGATCAAAAAGCGCAGTTTCCGCCAAAAGTGCGCAGAGGGTTCGCTGCAAAAGCATCGCCCCTCGACTGACCCCTTTCTTGTCTCCGTCAGGCGTCGCGACCAAGGTCCACGCGGAAGAGCTGAACGCACACACACAGAGCCCAGTTTTTGGCCCGCTTCTTTTCCAGTGCGAAAGTGCTGCACCTTGCGCGAAAATGACCGAAAACCACGAGCCTTTGAGCGTCAACCCACCAAAAGTGCTCAGGGTTCACCAATTCAACGCTGCAAAAGTATCATGTGTTGCCTTACAGCTGAGACCTTTCCGGGACACCCTCCAGAGTCGCGACCGAGGTGGTTTCCCCAAATCTCGCAGTTTCTAGCTGCATCCTATGTTGTACACGCGCGGGGCATCTATTCTTAAAGATCATGCGCATTCTGAGAGACAGCTGGCTCATTTGTAGTTCCAGCGCTACGGAAGTTCTAGTGAAACTTTGCTTGATGACATATATTTTAAAAAGTCGTCACTTCCAAAACAAATTAATGTACTGCCTTCGTCGTCAGCGCTGCCTATATATATCAGACTTGCGAGTGGATGGGGTCGTAGGGAGGGCGTGCAACAACGCAATCAACCACGTTCTCAGCACAAAGTTCTGTAACTTAAACAGGCGCGCAAACACCGCCGACCTGCGTTGACTCTACTAATGGTACATGTGCGTTTCCAGCACCTATGCAGGCTTATTTCTTTGTTTTTCTTGCGCGCGTTTGCCCAACAATCAACAATGTTCGGCCAAAGTCAAAAGGAATTCGCCCAAAGCAGTGAAAACAAAACTGGGAGCGGCTTACGCAGCCAAAGTAGCTTGCCCTGGCGCGACAACACCGCAAACCTGTGCTGGAACCCTGCACGGCGTGCTCACAACCCTCTTCGAAACATCGGCGGCGCTTTTTCAAACGTACCTATACTTAGACGCTATACCGAGACATGAAGCAGCATTTAGCCAGCTTCAAGTCAGGCGCTTCCTTTTCCCAAAGCACGGTTTCCTTGTTTTCCTTTTTAGTGAAGAGCCATGCCAATTTCATTTGGATACTTTTTGGACCATGGTCACTGCACACGAGGTGCTGACGATTGCAGTGTCTGCCGACGGTCTGGTGGCTTGTTCGCCGTTGTCGACCCTCCCGCAACTCAAGCTTCCGCACGAGAAAGCTCCCGAGGAGCACTTCCTTGCTGTGCAAGACGACGAGGTTTCTCTGCCCCTGCACCGGCTGACCCGCAAGCACATTTCCAAGCGAGTGCTCCACACAGCAGCGAAAGTACCCACCCGGGTCAAGCTGCTCGCATTGAACCAAAGCCTTGCCAACCTGCTGAATTTGAGGCTCGGGGATGCGGTGCCTCCACGCGCCCTTCGGCCAGTTAGCACAGGTGAGAAGCGAGTGCGTGTGCAGGCCAAGGGCCTCGACCTGGCCTATCTGTGGAACAGCTCAACCAAGCAAGCCACATGGCAGTCGTGCGACCACCCGTCTTTTGCGGATGTGGTCCGCCTTTCGAGCTTGACAGATGAAGGGGACACCGTGCTCGCCTTGCAGATGGCTGCGGGAGGTCTTGCTGTCTTTCCCCACAGAGACTTCATGCACAAGCTCGCCCGCGAGGAGGTCCTGGCCATTAACGATGTGTCTGAGATGAGCGTTGCCGTAAAGGAGGTGCTACTTGTCATGAAATTTGAAGCAGCGCCCTGGCACTCAGGGATGTTTGGGACGCGGCTGCGCGAGGCATTTGGCTTCGTGCAACAGCTTCCAGTGCCCCATTTGCTGCTGGACGTTTGTGGGCCCGGAATCATCCGCGACCTTGAGATGGATCCGCGCACCTCGCAGGCCGAGCTGAAGCAGGTTCTGATCAACTTCGCTGGCCACGGCGGAGGCTTCAGGACAGGCGGGGACACGAAGCTGTCCAGGTGGGCAGACTTCCTGGACAATTTCAACCGGCTCCGTCGCAGCTGGCATGCTCGGCTTTTCTACCTCCTGCTGGCTTTCACTGTGGAAGGAAAGCATCCACTAGATGCGCTGGCGTGCGCTCGGAGCGAACGCGAAGACTCCACCGCCATCATGCCCAAAGTGCTTCGGGCGCTTCGGCGCAAATAATAGTTTTTTTTTTATTTGTGTCCTCCCCATTCCTCGCACTTGCCCTCCCTGACCGATTCCGCATTGTCATGTTGTATGCGCAAGCCCCTCCAGCAGGTACTTGTGAAGCCTGATTCACTGGCATTGGCAAAGAGCTTCCGATACTGCCTGCTGCCTTTTCGCAGCTTTCAAGCAGCAGAGGCTGGATCCCCTGATTCAATTGTGTTCCAATTCCAATCGAACCCACTTTCAGCACAAAGATCATCCCATGTAGGGCGGATGTCGTTTGTTCTAGCCAACTTGCAATTGCAGGTGGCCGCAGACACCCAGCCGGCAAGCCATGCGTCGCTATTGCGCTTCGTGGCTCTACAGTGGACAGACTTGTGCCTGAAAACCTTGCGCTCCGCTCTGCAGGGTGATCACCTCAGTGACATCGCCCACGACGTGCGGGGAGACCTGGAGCTGGAACACGACCTGCTCTCCGTGCACTTCCGATTTACAGTAGCCACTGTCAGGCGCTTCCTGGAGTTCTCGTTGATCTACCAGCACTACCCGTGGCGTTGCTTCCTGCTGCTCGACGAGGACCCTGCTGTGGTGGAAGCGACGCTCAAGGGCATGCAGAATGAGTGGGAGTTCGTGCTGGCCCAGGAAGCGCGCTTGCCGAACTTCGGACGCTGGCCCTGGTCGGAGATGCCGCACCTCCGGTGGTACGCGTACCGCGAACTAATGACGTTCATGGAGGAGCGGCGATGGAGCATGACCGAGGAAGCTCGTGCGCTGATACATGCATGGTGGCCTGACCCGGCTTCCACCTTAGGCTGCGAGGACGTGTTCCGGTCCTTGCGTGCCGCGGAGAAGAAAGCGGTCAACAAGCAGGCGAACCCTGCTCAGCTTCAGGCTGTGTCGATCAAGGCGGTGAACACGCGGTACAGCCAGTACCGCACGGTTGAGTGCCGGCCCTCGGATGTGCACTCCATCCCTGCCACCGGCTGCCTGAGGCGCACGGTGTTCGACCCTTCCAGGGCGAGCGCTTCTGACACTGGCCTGGACGGGTTTGCGCAGCTTGTGCGCGCCAAGACGCCTAGCCCGCACCACTTTGTGCGCAAGGGCTTGAATTTGCTTCAGGCCCTCAAGGTCGCCGAAGGCGACACTGGGAGTTTTTGGACTGCGCATCTTCTCCGGCCCTCGACGGTACCTGAGCTGCAGCTGTCACAGGTTACAGTACGGTCGATCACCTTGCCACACATTGAGTTACCTGCGGTTTGTCACAGTCACAGGTTACAGTACGGTCGATCACCTTGCCACACATTGAGTTACCTGCGGTTTGTCACAGGTTACAGTACGGTCGATCACCTTGCCACACATTGAGTTACCTGCGGTTTGTCGCAGCGCAAGCTGACACGCCTTGTGCGCCACATGCTGAAACCGCCTATGTGTCACGAACAGTGTTGCTATTTTTGCCTTGAGCCGAGTCATTGGACTTGTCGAGGTTGGTTTTCCGTTTCTTATGCTAGACACCTCTCTTCTCACTGACTCTGAAAACATGTACCCCGCAGATGGTTGGCTTTTAGTCAAACAACCCCAATCAAAAAGCACAACTGGTATAGTACGCTGCAAACCACCCAGCCAACAGCAACAGCCACCACGACAACCACGACAACGACAACAACAACCATGACGACCACAACAACCACAACAGCAACAACAACAACAACAACAACAACAACAACAACAGCAACAACAATAACAACAACAACAACAACAACAACAACAACAACAACACAACACAACACAACACAACACAACAACAACAACAACAACAACAACAACAACAACAACAACAACAACAACAACAACAACAACACAACACAACACAACAGCAACACAACACAACACAACAGCAACAACAACAACAACAACAACAAACAACAACAACAACAACACAACACAACACCAAACAACACCAAACCAACAACCAACAACAACAACAACAACAACAACAACAAC